CCTTCCCTCCGGAGTGCCTTGCCTCCGAGCGGATCCGAAAGTCACGTCTTATGACGGGCATGGAGTAACCGTGGATCCTCGCATTCCCCGTCGTTAAACCTGCTGGATTTCCCGCGATAAACCGCGCGTGCTATTTATCGTCGCCTATCTATCGCAAGCGTCGCGTTTATCTGCACCGTTTCATCGGTTTCTACGACTTCACTCCATTTTGACAATCTTGACGGCGAGCTCTGGAAAGCGCTTATATATATAAGACAAAATATTAAGATAATCGTCGATTAAATTAAAAGTGATATCTTCTCTATAATTGCTTGTAATAATTGCACAGAGTAAAATTCTCTCCGGCGCTGTTCATTAATTTGTAAATAATTTGATTGAAAGTTCCAACATTTTATAAATATGTTGTATTCAACTAATCAAAAATAATTTACGATATTATTAATTATTAGATATTATTAGTTTTGCTCATTGTGTGAAATTTATAGCTTCTTTGTATCAAGAGAAAAATATATCTCTATTAATCTAAAAAGACGCCAAATTTCAGTACAAAAATATATAAATGCTAAATTCACCTTTTTAACTGAGATTTAATACATCATAAATTATTCAGGACATGAGTACTTTGAGAGGTTTTAGTTTCAGTCTCAGTCAATTAAATAACCGATTCATTATACACGTAATAAACTAAATTACGAATAAGTATTGAGACATTCTAGATGTAAATTCATGCGATCACATTTATATCCTGGTAATATACACGCGTGCAGTATAATTATAATTGCTTGTGACATAATCTCTTTGTCATAATCTCTTGTCCATATGTCTTTTAAAATTGTTAATTATTATTTCCTTTTTTCCTTTTATCGCAGATGCTACTCCATTATTAATGATTGCAGATTTTTAAAATATTTTTTTTTTTTTTTGTAACCTGAGTGGTGATCTTCAGTCATACTGATTAATTATTATTGATAAATTCATGCATTAAAGAATTATGATAGATGATAATGACTATCAAGAACTCACGATTTATTTCAACCTGTTTAACATATGTCTTTATTAAGTAAACTTCTCGATCTCGCAGTTAATGCACGTTTTTCAAAGTCAATATTTGTACAATTGTACAAATGTTTGTACAGTTCTAATAATGTTGTATTAATTTCCTTATAAAGAAAATAATATAATACAAAAAGTGTCATTAATCATTACAAAATTGTAATTGCCGCACTTGATTCAATGTTGTAGGAAATCGAAAGCATGGCATTGTGAGATTTCATTAAAATTAGAGATATCCACCCTTCCTAGAAGAATGCCCGTCGGCTTAGAAAGAAATAGCATCGAGAGGGTACGATGTCTGAGATAATCGATAACGTACTTTTGATCGCGAATGGATAAAGTGTTTTCGGACCCACTTTTATACATTGCAACCAGTGATATTATTAAATTACTTTTAACACTACTGGAAAGTATATTAACTATAATTTGTTATTTCATCAGTTTTAATAGAACAATGTTTTATCTTTATAATCTTTATCATTAAATATTTCAGCAATAATTTGTTGAAATAAAATTTAATTTAATATTGAATTAATATTATCATTTAATATTATTATTTAATATTAAATTTTGAGTAATATTTTCTTATTTATATTTGCATGCCTAAAAATTAATTTACAAAATACAATTTATTTTTAATCATTTAAGATTTAGAAGCCTTGTTATTTTTAGTATAAAATTGTCATTAATAAAAAAATTCAAATTGATAACATCCGTGTATAAAGTTTTTATTAGTTCTTATATACGACAACTTGTTCGACAGTAGTTCAGTCGACGTGCAAATTACGGTAGCAGTATACACGATATCGTATGCACGTCCCTTAATCATACGGCCAGAAAATAATCATGGTCTTCGATAAAACGCCGACACGGCAACTCGAGCCTGCATATGGCATGGACAGATGCTCTTTGCGACAAACCGCCGTGCTCTTCTGCACCACGTCCTAAAATTCGAGGTGTGCGAAACGAACGGACTTGTGTAAAAACGCATGCATTCGTCGCACACGTGTCGAATTTCGTCGAACGTATTTCCTTCAGCGTTATACGACACCTTTGGAAATCGGCCAAATGTAATCCGCATAGAAATGACGGCAGTAGCCTGTGTTGACGCGGTAATTAGGGTGGTGTTTTCGTGACTGCCGAGTGTGCGCAAGGTGGACCACAAATACTATTCTTATAATAAATATTAAGGCTTTAAGAGGCAGAAAGAGAGAAACCAATTATCCAACATCTGGATTATATTACTGGACATAATATAATGCGAGCAAACTGTATATTAAATCGAACGTGTAATTGCTTAAGGAATTTTTACTGTACATTAAACAATGCTGCTGTATTCTCATTATCTTAAGCTTATTTATATTCAAAAAAATTGAGAAGAAATTATATAACTTTTAAATGTATCTAATCGTATAAATATACATTTTTTCAGTTATAATAGATAAACGTATGGAATTATTTAATCTATATAAGAATCGTTTAATATTTATATTTCTTTAAAAAAGACAAGTATTTGCCTTTTCAGGAAAAAAAATTAAAAAGAATTTTGCCTGTTTATTTACAATATTTTTCACATGAGTATAATCTCTGAAAGCGTGAAAATTATTTAAAAAACGTATTACACAAATAAAAAAAAGTGCAATACAAAAAACAATACTAGCAAAATTAATGTTTTATGATGCACGATACCTGCAGGAAATAATAAAAGAGCTATTGCAAAATTTATGAGAAGCGTGAAAGATTCTTGTATCAAAGACATCTCTCAAGGACGGGACGTTTGCCCGACACGTTGCTCGTCCACGTAGGGCGCATTACACGCAGCAGGCGATTCCGTACCGTGGCAAATGCAAATGTCGCGCGCGGCAACGGAGCCACGAGGTCGTCCACGTCCGGTCGCGCTCGCGAGAGGATCAATGATCGCAATCACCGATGTCACGGGACGACTTATTGGCCGCGACCCGTCTAATAGATCGATACCACCCGTTATTACGTCCGACTCGAAGACGCTGCGCGCGGCGGCGTCCTACAAATAACACGCCGGACGGATGATACGCTAATGAGGTATCCGAGCGACGCACGTGACCGGATCTCTGCCAGTTTTCATTTCCCCGCGACGAATACCGACTGACATCGACGCAATTTCCATATGCTTCCGAGTGCGCGCGCGTCGAGTATCTTGCTGGCGATCCACGAGAAAGGATCGCATCCGAAATCGATTAATGATAGATTAATGGTTGATTAATCCTTGGTAAAACTGAGGGTTAAGAATATACTCATTAAAGACTCGAGCTTTCGTTTCGATTAATAATAGATTAATGGTTGATTAATCCTTGGTAAAACTGAGGGTTAAGAATTGAAATTTTATGCAAAAAAATTAATACATAAGGGAATTATGTCAGAATTTGTCAATATGACGTGACAAAATCAAAACTCTTGTCTTTCTAATGCAATTCTTCTGGAACATATTTAGATACGAGAGAGAAATAACAATAAATGATAATAAATTAAATTACATGATTTACGTATATCTACAAAAATTAATTTTAATTTCCATCTTTATGTATAATAAATTGAGTTCTACTTTTCACTTCATATAATTCTTCTCTTTTTTAATTAAATATGTCGATGTTACAGATTAATAACGTTAGATAAATTTGTCAGAAGCCAATTACCATTAAATTTAGCGCGATGATCGTTAATTAACGACATCGGATATTATACGAAAATATACCAAGATCTTGTTGTTTAATGAGGTGCACAAAAAATCTGAGCTTTTTATTGCGTGCATTTAACGTGTACGTTGAGTTACTTTCGCGAATAATTACTATACAAGATATATATTAATATTTATGATTAATAAATATGAATGGATATTTTTACAAAATATATAATATCAAAATTAATAATAAAAAACTGATAATTACAAATGCTTGGTAGAATTTTCTGTTTTTTTTAGCTTTTTATTATCATCAGAAAATTTAGGGTCTAATTAACAACATGATACTGTATTTCTCGACTTTTCGCATAGAGAAACGCTTTCCGAAATCTTTTTTGGAAATAAAAAAAATCAAGTTTCATCAAACTGATATAGATTTAATTCAGAGTCATTGATATAGATAAATAATCATTGATTTAATCTTAAATTCAGAAAACAAGCAAAACAAGCAAAACTCGTTCATAGCTATATAATCGTGAGATTGATAATAAGGCGAAACTATCGATCAAACTAGCGTAATCCTTGAACTATGGAAGAATAAAAGAGATATATTAAGTATGTGCAAAAAATTAACTTCTCCAATGTACAATGTAAGTGCATGACATTGATTTGTCCGAGGAGTGCGTAAAATTGATTATATATGTTGCTGCGTGAGCTGCTGAACAAACAGTTTCGGAGTCAAAGGGTTAAGGAATGTAAGATTCATATGCGAATCGGTCAAGTATGTTACTCGGCTGTACAATTTTTTTGCGGTTGATACAACTATATTTTACGATAGAGTTATATACGACTGTCTTTAACCTTGCAGAACGTATATCATTAAATGTTATTCGCACCGAGTGTTTTAATTTGAATATAACCGCAAAATACCGCGTCATCGTTTCATTCGTACTTTTTAATCTTACACGAATGACATTTTTTATAAGCCAATGTGTATTGTATCCTAGCAATTATTTCTTTATAATTGTACGTCACGCAACATTTTCTCTTTATAGCTTTATATTCTTTTAAATATCTTGTTTTTCTTTTCATATAAAGGCACTGAAAAGCTTTTGAAGTCATCTTTGATCCTTCTAAACTGCATTATAATGCATCAGATATAGCTATCTACCCCAGCGATGAGATAGAAACATAATAATTGTACGAATCTGATTCTTCCGTGATCTTTTATTGTGTTAGTGTATTGGAGAGAGAGAGAAAAACTATTTAGAAAAATATTTAGAGCACTTACCACGTGAAGCTCGGCGTCTCTCCTGAGATCGCCACTCCTTTGGCCCGCGGTGACGGCAGCGCTCAGGTGGTTGTAGTGGTGCTGATGCAACGTGTTGAGCGTTTGCGTATAAGGATCGCTGACGAGGTAATCCAGGTGTTGCGGTTGGCCAAGACCGGGATGCTGGGGGCTAGCGGGCGCGTGATGGTGCGAGGGAAACGGGGGTGGAAAGTAAGGGGGTTGAAAGTCGGAGGCGGTCGGCAGAGAGGCGCCTCCGTGGTGGGGCATGCCGCCCCCGTTTCCGTTTCCCCGATGTCCATGGTGATGGGCACCGGAATAGGGCGACGAATTCCCGCCGCCCAGTGAGGAGATGCCCCCATGACCAGTCAGACGGTCCTGTGTAAAAATAAAATGGTACATTTAATTATTATATAATATTAGATAGTATAAACAATAATATTTCTCGAAAATATTATATATATATATATATATATATACAGGGTGTTCCAGATCAGGTCAATTTTAGGGTCTTATAGGTCTTATCTTAAATTGAATTTGGAACAAAAAATTCCAATAAATATAGGTCCAAAAATACTTCGTTAGAAAGTTATAGCTAATAAACTCTCTATAAGTAATTAGTTATGATTCAGATTTAATAAGAACATTTTTATGTTTGCATTTGCAATGTTTACACTACGAATGTAGAGTTTACACAAAGACCATCGAAAGGTGGGTTTTTCAAGTTTCTGCTTTTTTTGTTGTTTTGAGCTTATTTTCTTTTGAATGCCTTATCAAAATGAAATGAAATTGGTGTAATTTAGTTTGTTTAGTTTGTTATTTAATTATCCACCAGATTTATTTCGTGACTTTTTTCAAATGAATGAATTGTTTTGAAGTTATTTTTAAAAATCATCGTTTATTTGCTATAATTTTTTAAGCGTTTCCTTTTATTAGCTTTAACTTTTTAAGCGGACCTATGTTTATGGGAACTTTTTTGTTCCAAATTCAATTTCCTATAAGAGTTTTCTGAAGTTTTATTGACCTGATCTGAAACATCCTGTATAATTATGTTTTCTCTCAATTGACATAGAATATTTTTTAGAGAGTGAAAAACTAGTTTTCGATAAACATTTCTCATTTACTGTGAAAGAGCAAAAGATAGATTTAAGTTGTTTTTGTATATTGGTATTAAAATATATATAGATTGTAATATCGTATTAAGTTTTGCTACTAGAAAAGCTCGAAAGGTTAATCAATTAGTTTCACTGAAACAGAAGAAAATGAATCTCCTTCCATTTACAAGACTTACATACAGTCGCCTGTGAGGGATTCACTTCTCATGGCGGTAATTACAGACTATTTACATCGCACATCTGATCGATCTCGGATAAGAGGTACGTCACGCACGTTGCATCCAATGCAAAAGACTTAAACATCGCGCGTTAGTTAGAGCAAACTAAAATTACATAGTAACTCACGGAAATTTCCTCTATCAATTAAATCTTTACGTAATTCTTAGACTCTTTTAGAAAGTCTATTTTAATATTTTTAGACAGCTTTTTTTCAGATTAATATCCTGACTTTTGTTATAGCATAAACTACATAAAAACTATGCTACCCAAATATTATAAAATTTACAAATTTTATGTCTACTTACAATTAATTCGTTGACTTTTTTGTCTAATCGTGACATATTTAAGTAAGATAAAAGAAACATCGAAAGTTCAAATAATAAATATACGCTTATTTAAAATAATAGTTATTAAAACTATTAATGTTATATACATGTTATTAATACACACAAATACGTGCACAAACAGTTTACAGGTAAAATGCAGGTGCGAGAAATATAATCTCCAAGTCTACGATCGATATGGAGAATCGTGTCCTTGCAACCGATAACTCGATTAGATATAAAGGATAAATCTCTCAGAACTGAAAGGCTCTTGCTGCAATTTATGTATTTGCTTAGATTATCTGTTAACATTAATGCCTTTCTAATAATTTTTGGTTGATATCTAAGTTCTCTATGAAATAGAGAGAAAAATAAATGTACAAATAACTTAACAATCGATGCCTTTTCCTTAAATAACATATTTTTCTCTTTGTCATTTTCTATTTATGTTTCTATAACGTGATAATAAATCAATAGAGCTATTCAAAGATATCAAAGATCACATCTAATACATAAAAATATAATACAGTTTATTTTATTTTATAAATAATATTAATAATATCAATAAATATATCTAGACTTTTTTCACACGATTTTTGCGATATATATTTGGTTAAAATAATATTTTTGCAGTTACAGTTTATACCTATATGTTTGAAAACTTTTTCTAATCTATATAAAATTTTATTTTTCTGTTAAATAAATCGAATTTATAAAATATTAGGAAAAAAACGTGTATGGTACTTGAATACGAATAAGCGAGTGCTCGATGGAAAAATTTGTTTAGAGATCTATCTCTGGAAAATCATATACTGAAACCTCGATAATATCTTTCCGTAATTATAAGTTCCGTATTGTAAGATCCGTAAATCTCGATTTACCTGGTCCATCGATATTTTCTCGCACGTTTAGTCCGGTCCGCGTAATCTCGCGATGCGAGTTCTCGATTGTACGGTATTACATACTCGGTATTACATACGCAGATAATATTACCCGGGGATATTATGTATCTCGGGTATATCTGAAAGAGACGTTCTTGCCGCATCGCATTGAGTCCGGCGCATCGCATTAGGCCTCGTTCATCGCGATACGATCTCGATACGTCTCTATAAGCCGCGAAAGGGCCAACCGCTAGTTTCAGCCTTCACGATGTTATGCCCTTATGTATCTGCATATCCGAGAAGGCGTATGCGGCGCCGAGCGCATCGAATTCCTTCGAATTTGTTAGGAACGAGCAGGGGGCACGAGCGGTGCCACTCACCCTTCCGTAGAGAATTGAATTCTTCGAGATTTGTTGAGGATGATGGAACACGAAGATACGCGCGCATCTATCTTTCCCGTAATTGACCTTTAAATATCGCCGCACGACGGACGCTTGCCGTAGGGCCTACCGTGATATAAGTACGACTAATGCAGATTTTTTGCTAATTTTATTTTGCTCGCGGGGGGGGGGGGGTTACACAAATTAAAAGTTAAGAAACAAAGTTACTCACAAATTGTTTAACATATCTTACTTATTCGTTTGTAAATGATTTTGTAAAAAATATTGCGTAAATTATATACTCCTTTTATTCTATAAATATACAGGGTGTCTCGAAATTAAATATTAAAACTTCAAGAGCGTATAAAAGATCGATAAACTAAGAAAAAAAGTCCTTTAGAGATTTGCTCGTTTTTGCTTTGTTTTGAAGAAAATCGCGAAAAAAGAAACAAAAAACGTAAAATAACACTAAAATTATTACGTTTATCGAAAAGTATCATGAGATAAAAATTGTAGAGCATGGAATTAAGAAAAGAGAGTGAATTAAAATCCTCCTGAGGTAAAATTAGAGGATCGTTCAATTCATTCTCTTTTTTTAATTCCATGATCTACAATTTTTATCTCATGATACTTTTCGATAAACCTAATAATTGTAACGTTGTTTTAAATTTTTTGGTGAAAATCTTTTTGTTTCTTTTTTTTGCGATTTTCTTCCAAACGAAGCAAAAATGAGCAGAAATCTCTAAAGAACTTTTTTCTTAGTTTATCGAACCCTCATACGCTCCCAAAGTTTTGACATTTAATTTCGAAACATCCTGTATACCCTTCTCACTCTATAAATATATATATATAATATTCTAGAACTCTATATTACTCATACATATATATAAAAATGGAAATAGTTTTGAAATAGTTTTGAAACTACGTATATTGTTAAACCTGGTTAAAGGTGATATATTTGACTCTAATTGAATTTCACTATATGAATCAGAGCTCGAAGTACTAATAGAAGTTATGTGCTTGATGTAGATTAGAATTCGTATGAAGTAAAATTTATTAATGGTATTCTTCAGTTCCTGAAATTAAACTTTCGAAAATTGAAATTTTAATTTGAAATTTGAAATTTCGATAACATATCGAAAATTTGTGTCAAGATATCAAAGCATTGAAAAATGCATTGTTATATAAAACAGCTTGCTGAAAGATGCGAGAAGTTGTAATTTTGATTGTACTTTCTTTGTGTCTAAATTATTATAACAATCAAAATATATTTCTTTAAAAACCAGTGTTAGTATAATGCATCACAAAAATATTGAATGTTGCTCCATGTGATTTTTACATAAAAAATAATTACTCGGAAATTTCAATTCGCACGTTGTTTTAAACAGAAATTACAAATATATAATTTACATTTAATCTTTTAAAAATATGCGCTTCATATGTGTTAAAAAGTATGAGGATACAAACTATAAAGAATCATAGAGATTCACCGAGAAAGAAAAGATTATTTGAACACCACAAGTACATAGTATGCGAATACATGCGATTAAAGACAGGAAAGGAAAGTCGAAAGTCGAAAAGGCGTATTTTAAATATCGCGTATACGCGTATTTGTCTTGTACTCATTCTTCGCTTCAAGCAATCAAGCATGTTGAATCGCTGCTGAGAATGACGTTTTCTGACGCCTACAAACTAGCACGCTGTAACTTGTGCTCTCAGAGGCTCATTGCCAAATAAACTGATATCAATCGTAATACTGTTACGCGAGAACGAGGAGGAGAAATCGTTGACGTACGAGCACATGACATGGAAATTCTATATGACGATATCGGTAACGCGGGCGCGCCGAACAATTCGCAAAAGCAGCAGCCTCTTTCGCAAACAGCACTGTTGAGCCGAACTTTCATGCTGAGATCACCGTTGATAAGGTGGGAGAAAGTATGTTCCCCGTTACTACACACGCATACAATTAATAGCCCATAATACGTGTGATGAAATAATTCCATTAGTCCTAAATAATTTCGAAATTTTAATTGGAAAAATAAATTAAGAATATATGTGTCGTAGACATATTTTCATCGGCGATTTTAACAATTATTAGATTATTTAGCTTAGGAGTAAATAATTTCGTAGGAAAATAAACTAGGAGTATGTGTCACGGGCACATTCTCATCGACGGTTTTAACGATTATTCCGTCGGCACGGATATCTTGAATACGATCACAGAGGAGAGGACACTTTATAGCGTTAGTTGTGTCAAATATAACGGTACCGAAAACGTAATAAACTTAATAATGCAAAATTGTTGCCGACGATTGTATCATATTCTGCGTTCGTCGAATCAAAATTTAATACTTTTTTTAGTTCAAATAAAAATAAATTTGTATTTGTTAGCGGAATAAAATTTATTCGAGAAACGTACACTTCGTTAAATTATATATTTCAAGTATTAGAAATAAA